GTTTCTGGTTTTCGTCCCTATTTCAAAATAAAGTACAATTTGGTCCTCATTCTTTTCGAAACGTTCGTTTTAGTCCTCGAAAACTAAACTGTTTAAAAATTTGGTCCTCATTTAGCAACAAATGAGGACTAAAACCAAAATTTCGAGGACTAAAACGAACGTTTCGTAAAGAATGAAGACCAAATTATACCTTACGAGGAACGAAAACCAGAAACGGCCAATAGTTTAGCAACTAAAAACATATTTAACCCTAAATTTAATATGTACGCAAGGCACAGCTTATTATGTTAGGGAAACACAAAATTAATATAATATATTTTATCTTTATTAAAAATATGTCATCATACAATTTATTATATTCGGTGAGCATAATAGTTAAAAAGAGACATGACTTCCCTTTTCATTTGAATTTTGGAATAAATATCTTTGTTTTCTATATTTATGTTTTATTTATCTTTTCACGTTTTTAATGTTTGGATCTCAAATCAATTAAATGAAATAATTAAGATCAATGATTTTAAACGACATTATTAAGATCAATGGTATAATTTATTTTGGAATTTTGTTCATTATGATTTTATTTTTAAAATACATCTCGAAAACTGAAAAATAAAATATTTAAATTATATTTTACCTCGATTTTATGTAAAACTTAATCTGACAAAAAATACCTTAATGAAAATATGTTTGTTCTACACACATACAGATGTTTTTCTTGCCTTTGAATGAAGAAGATGGTAAAACCCTGCAGTAAAGAAAAAGAAAATCGTAAAGAACAGGGAAAAAGGTTGTAACTTGCGACACTCTTGTTTATCGACCGATGTCAAACATAGATTCTCCAAATAAATAGAAATTCCTCTTTCTCAATCACTCAGCTTCACTTCACCATGTATGTTTCTTCTTCTTCTCCTCTTCTCATTCTTTTCTTCATTTCCTTCGCTGTTTCAGTCAGTTCAGTTTCTGTGCGGCGAGGGACCCCACTTGACATTACTTCGGAGCAATCCGATGAAACCCCCACTTACCTATGGCCACTTCCGGCAGAGTACACTTCTGGCAACGAGGCTCTTGATGTTGATCCTGCACTCAAGCTCACCGTCGCCGGAAACGGTGGCGGCTCCGTCGTTCTGAGAGCGGGGTTTGATCGGTACAGAGGGATCGTATTCAAGCACACTGGATTGGGATCGGGGTTTAGTTTTATAAGAAAGCTGAGGGAGCGGTTGGTGTCGTCTGTTTCGGCATACGATGTTGACACATTGAACATCACCGTCCATTCAGAAAACGAGGAGGTTGGTGCCGTGGTTTGGAATTTTTTGATTGGGATAACTTAAGTTCATGCAGTGAGGGTTGATAATTGCTTGGTTAGTCAACGTGGGAACTTCAACTGGGTGATGACTATTCTGTTCTGTTTTTCTCTTTGCAGCTTCAATTTGGAGTGGATGAAAGCTATACCCTGCTGATTCCCAAAGCCAAGGATTCTTCCCAAGTTACAATTGAGGTGAGCTCCATTGTTGGATTTGGATATTTGATTCTAATTTGTTTCGTTTTTTTTTTGGAATTTGGAATTGGAATTGCTTGTTTGTTACAATACAACTTCTTGGTTCTTTGTTCATCCAGTCAATGTAATGCTTAGTTTATAGTTTAAGTACCTTTGGAAAATTCTGTCTGAAAAAAGTTGGATGACTCTGAAGTATGTTTCGTTAATTTTCTCAGTGCGAAAAGTTGAATTGAAGTTGGTTTTCAGCTTTAGTTTTTCTCTTTCCATCTTTTTTTTTTCCTTTTTGAGGGACCTTCCTACTTTCCCGTACTGGAAACAATTCAAGCAAGCTCTTTTGTTTCTTTCTATGATTACAGTATGACACATTTCTTGTGTACTGCCCAAACTCATCAAAGCTTTTTGTTTTGTAAAAGGAAAGAAAAACATATTGACTTAAAAGTAAAAAAAAAAAAAAATAAGATTGAGACAGAGTTGTGGTTGGATTATTGTATCTGGACTCAAAAAAACAAAGCAAATTATGCCATTTGTTAGTTAATCACCCTATTTTGTGATTTTGTCATTGCAGGCAAATACTGTTTATGGTGCATTGCGGGGATTAGAGGCATGTAAAGAGTTTGCTTGTGAATGAGCTCAAACTGTTTTTATTCTTCCATTTTCTTTTTACTTTATTTGGCGGCTTGAAGTGGAGTAGTGGTGGTGGGAAGAGATGGTAAGGAGGTGAAGGTTGATGAATAGAGACCAGTTAGTCCTTGTTTAGCACTTATTGGCTTGATTTGACATCTGGTTACTGGAGTCTGGAGTTGTAGATACCAGATATACCTGTTGTGACATGCTCTTTTTAAGATGATTTCTAACATATATTTCCATTTTCATATTTAGATATGTTTTTCTCCATAGGGTTGGCAAATCTATAGTCTGCCGTGTCCTTGTATATGAGATAAGATTTAATCAATTTTCTAGAATGTATTTTTTTTCGTATACCTTTACATTGTTGATCTTGGTATTGTGGAAACATAAACCCCTCTAACCTGTATATACGTTGGCATGCATGTAGTAAATTGCTCAAAGTCTCAGTTTATCTATTTTTTTACTGTGAAAATGAAAACTGAACTATTGTTGGCTTTGCATGGTGCACCAGACATTCAGCCAGTTGTGTTCTTTCGATTATACAACTAAAAAAGTAAAAATATACAAGGCACCTTGGTCCATCCAAGATAAACCTAGATTTGCATATCGTGGGCTTTTGTTGGGTGAGACTCAAGTTTTCAAATAGAAAATTTTTATTCTGCTAGCAGTTTTATACTATGACCAGCGGACAATGATACATGTTTTTTTGCAGATACATCAAGGCACTATTTACCAATTATTGTAATTAAGCAGATTATTGAATCTATGTCCTATGCTAAACTTGTAAGATATATGTTATATGCTTTATCAATTTTCTTCCTTGCTGTTTTTCTTTTCATGTAATGCTGAATAAAAAAATTTATGCTGCTTAGAATGTTCTACATTGGCACATCATAGATGAGGAGTCATTTCCGCTGGAGGTACCTACATATCCAGACTTGTGGAAAGGTTCATATACTCGGTGGGAACGTTACACAGTTGAAGATGCATATGAAATTGTCAAGTAAGACTTTATCCAAATTAATTGTTGTTTTTATAATCTTCCTGTTTTAGTCGCAATTTTCCTGGGGAATGAAAAATTACCAAAGAATGAGCACGTTGAAGTAAATTATCTGTCTAACCTTTGATAGAATCATCTTTTGCTCAAACTGTCCAGTTGTAAGTAATTTTGCTAACACAATCTTTCAATTTTAAGCAAGTCACTTTTCCAGGACAAGCAATTTTGAACTGGAAATAGTTTATTGTAGAATTTAATTTTTAAATGAGCAGAGGGGACAAGAAAGGCTATCATGGGGGTGGGGAAATATGTGACTAAAATCCCAAAATAATATTATAATGGCCTTGTCAATAGATATGTGTAATGCCTTTCCTTTCATTGAATTGTTAGCTTCCGGTTACCATCTGAGTTTGGTTTCTTAATTAACATTGATAAATGTTGTGTTTTCTTTTCTTTTACATGGTACGTTGATATAAAGCTTCGCCAAAATGAGAGGTGAGGTATCTTCAAATTCCTCTTCCAAAGTTCCGGCTACATAACATCTTTATGTTGATTTTTTATGGTTTTCTTTTACTTTTTGCTCTTTCATCTTCTTATGCAAAATACAACTATAAAAATAAAAGTGAATCTGCATGCTTTTATTGAATATTTGTATGATTGATTGCAGGTATAAATGTGATGGCGGAAGTGGATGTCCCTGGTCATGCAGAATCATGGTAAAAAACATGCCTTAGTCGTTTTTCTTTGTTAAGTATGACCTGATAGTATTATAATAATTGGCTTTGTTACTTTCGCACGTGAAGACCCAAGGAATTTATTTTACTTCTCAAAATTTGTCACTTGTATTTCTTTTAAGAAAGATTTGGGCACAAAAAGGTTTATTTTAGCTTGCAACCAGTAATTCCATTGGGTCGAGTGCCTCCATTGAAGTAAGTTTGGTGTTGAATATAGGTAGGCACTAAACTCTGTTGCTCCAATGACTGACACATGCTAGGATTGACACTGGCTATTTATTTATTTTTTGTTTATTTTAGCAAGCCATTGCTATTTTTTTTTTCTATTTCATATTTGCTTCATCTGGTTATTAGCTGGATTCTTATTCATTATTTTTTGTAAAGTTGAAATTTAATCAATTAGTTGTGTGACTTCAATTGTTACTCCAGCAATTTAACATTTCTATTTTTTGCTGGCAAGTAGCATGCATAACAAAAAAATTTAAAGTTCTTTTTATTTCATATAGGGGGGCAGGATATCCTGATCTTTGGCCATCACCTAGCTGTAGGGAGCCACTTGATGTTTCAAAGAAATTTACTTTTGATGTCATTTCTGGTATTCTGACAGGTTAAGCTCCTATGAAACCTTAAGCCCCATACTTGTTCAGTTCTTGGGATTTTTTTTCTTAAATATATAAACTTTTACCCCTATTGAACATCATTTTGTCTTCTTGAAATCATGATAAGCACTATATTGAGAAGATTATACCAAATACAACTTGAATATGTCAATAATGCTAGTTATGTAGCATGCTTAGAGTCTATTAGAGACACCATTTAATATTCAATTAAGTATATCTTTCCTCATTTATTTTAAAAGTCTTTGATAATTTTCATCTTCTATTTTGACCTGACGGTGTTGGGTTTTTGAATTGTTACCTTGTAAATGCACTTGTCAAAATGCATTATTTGAAACAACTTCGAGGTACTATTGTTTAATTTGAGAGTGAAGAAGGATACTAAAATTGTTGTTTGCTGATTTTAAGGGTCGAAATAAGGGATTCATGATACCAAATTACCAATCATGGATAAAAATGTATGACTATACAACAACGATAATGCACTGTTTGCAATATTATCTGATTTATAATATTTTCTGGATACAATGTTAGACATCTATATTTAATAAAATACTAAGATTATTTCTTTTTTTT